GAGAGAGAGAGAGAGAGAGAGAGAGAGAGAGAGAGAGAGAGGAACGATACAAGATTGGTTGTGTGAGCTCGGACACGGAGGAGAAGACAAAGGAGGAGACCATAAGTGAGCGAGAAGACAAAGTCGGAAGGGAGACGAGACGAAGGAGGGATAAAAAGCCATAGCCGGGGGTGAAGGTGAAGAGACGAAGGAAGAGAGAGAAGCCATAGCCAAAGGTGAAGGTGAAGGGAGAAGGAGGAAGGTGACGGTTGGTGAAGGAGAAGGAGTCGGCAGCCATAGAAGAGGTCCCCTATAGTCAGATTGAGTGGGGTCTTAAAGAGGAGGACAGTAGCACTTGTCAGGGGAGTACTTATGCTGCTGTCTCGGCCGGAGGGAGGCCGCAAGCCATGGGTTGAGTGCACATCCATAGGGCGAGGGGATAGGCTGAAGGCTCGGCGAGATTATACCAGCTCAGCTTGGTCAAACTTTGGTCAACGGCCTTGGTCAACGCTGATCAACGTCTTGGTCAATGCCTCAGTCAACGCTGGTCAACGCCTCGTTGACCGATTGTTTGCCAATTGTCCACCCAAGTTTTGGTGATACTCAGAGACAGGCCACAGTGATGCTGCTATATCCAAGCTTGCGAAGCATGCACCCAGTCCCAAAAATGGATCAGGTGTTTTCATAGCATGAACATAGCGAGAGTGGCATCTGGCCCTAAGTCACAACTGATGGAAAAACATTGTGCAGGTCCAGGCTACCCAGGTTTCATCCAGTTGGTTGTCAGTGGGCCAAAATTGAGCTGTCAGAGCATACCCACACAAAGACTTCCCTTCTGGGTGTATCTGACCGCAATTGTGGCTTCTCCTCGATGCATCTGACTGCAATTACACCCAGGGATCCGATGAAAAAGTCAGGATGCCCTCAGTGTCTTACTCACACATATAGCTGTCCAGCAATTCGAGAAAGGATGCGGCTACTGCATGGTCCAATAATCAGACCTGGTAGTTTGAACCAGGACTATTGATTGACTGCACTAAGTCCTTCAAAGCCAAGGGTTTGGACCCAAGGATGGGCCAATCACGATAGTCTGCACCAGGAGCACCGCTTGAGTGCACTAGGTCCTGCAAAGGCCAGGGTTTGGGCCCAAAGTTGGGCCAGTTCCGGCCTAGTTGGTGTGTACTGCCAGGTCGTGCAAACTGCAGGGTTTGGGCCTAATCTTGGGCCGGCCCCATCCCAGTTGGGGTAGCTTGGACCAGCATTTGGTAAACTACTGCATCAAGGCCCTGAAAGGCACAGACAGACTTTGGGTCCAACTTTGGGGCCCTGTCTTCACCTGGATGCTGAACACCCAACTGGCACCACCGCCCTGTCCCAGCACTTCGGTGGGCATTAAGATCAGATGGATTGAGGCATGTGGTAGAACTAGTTGTCATAGAGAAAGGCTGCAGGCTGAAGGGGAAGTCTGCTAGAAGTAACCCCCACGCAATGACAGCAAACCGGGAACTTATGCTAGCTGTGATGAATGGTGTGAAGCATTGACGAGAGAAAGATAACATGTGTGCAGACAAAGAAGAGCAAGGAAAAGGAACGTTAAGTTGTGAACAGAACTCCACAGAATAGATGAATGGATCCAGGACCATAAGGCCCTGGTTAAACAACAAAAACCGAAAAGAAAAGAAAAAGAGCAAGGAGGGGGAGCAGGGATTCAGGTGGGGGGGAAAAAAAAAGGTAAGCATGCACGTAACATTAATAGGGAGAGGGAAAAAACGAAAAAAAACAAATTGATAGAGAGAGGCATCTGCCAAAGTTAGCCATAGTGGAAGGCTGCAGGCAGAGGGAGGGGTCTGCTGGAACAAGGACATGGACCGACAGCAAACAGGTGGCACTGCCAGATGTAATGAATTGTGGGAGCTAGTGAAGCTTTCAACCAAGAGGAACAAACATGAATGTACAGGGGCGAGCAACGAAGTGGGAACAGGGAGTTGCACGATCATAATTTTTTTGGCTAAGATCAATTGTAATATCTGTTCTGATCAGTTTAATCTCTGATCCGTGGTCTATCAGACAACATGATATCCAAACACAGCCATCACACCTTACTCATCGTCTCGGGCATGAACTTCTGGCCCCCAAATCCGGGCTCCACTGTCATTACAAGAACCATGTCCACATGAATGTCTGATTCAACCTGCAAACGATCACCCAACAATCGAAAAGGTCAGAACAGGCAAAGCAACAGCGATGATAAAGTTGGTCATTCAAGAAATGCCCAAATGAACAACAGTGGAACAGATCCACAATGTGCACCCAACATATTGCCTTCACCTCGTTCGACCAGGACTTGAGCTCATCAACTGTGTACTGACAGTTCCCTGTGTATACCATGCAACCAACAAAAGGAGAACAAGGCACCCTTTTTTTTCTTAACAAACATGTCTGCCTGGAATTTTCCCTCTTTTTGCGCTTTTCATTTTTGTTTTCTTCATTTTTCTTATTGTTACGGTCCTGGCCAATTTCGAAGTACACATTCCTCAGAATGTACAATGCCGTCCAATTGCAAAAAGAAATGAATGAACTTGACAGGAGAGAGAGGGAAAGAAGAAGAAGGAAGAAGAAAGAAAGAAGAAGAAGATGATGTACACCGGCATAGACCATGTACACCGGCATAGACCAATGATAAAGCTTCTTCTTCGCCAATCGCTCTCCTCCTCCTTATCTCCTCCCCTCTTCTTCAAACAAGAAATAATAATAATAATGTTGAATGGCTGAACCAGAATCAATGTCTGAATCCCTCTTCTACTGCAGGCTCAACATGAGGTCCACCATAGCCATGTCTGCCCTTCCTCTTCCTCTTCACGGAGGGCAGGGCTATGGTGGACTACTAAGGGCTCTGCCCTCCTGTCCAAAGGACAACACAAAGCAGCTATGCCGCTGCCCTCCTGTCCAAAGGACAACCCAAAGCAGCTATGCCACTGCTCATCAAGCTGCCATGCCTGACTCTGCCTCGAGCTTCCTTGGTGTGGCACTACCCCAACTGGGGCCTTCCAGATGCAGCGCCTATCAAGGTGATGAAGATGGTGTCCACTATAGCCAGATAGGTACCTCGTCACTCTCCCCCTCAGTCCTCTTCTCCCTCCTCCTACCGGTAGAGCTCCACCGTAGCCAAGGTGGGAGCTCCCGGTCTCCTTCCTCCCAGCATCGCTGTAGTGCCCAGCGCTCCTCCAGCCGGCACTCCAAGCAGTGTGCCGCCAAACTTGCACACCGAAGAATGAGGCCCGAAGATATAGCGGCCTACTTGCCTCTTGGGCGGGGACTTTTAGGCCGCCCGGCCTCCCAAGCAACCGGTACCTCCTCCCTTTCCGAGGGAAACATCATTGCAGGCTCTGATATTGCCCATACAGGCCCTAGACTCATACTGGTTGGACTGGTACCCGCCTAGACCTCGCCTAGAACTACTGGGCCCCTAAAAATGCCAACTTTGTCTTCTTCTGCTCAGCCTCGAGTACCCTGCACATCTACCTCTACTTGGTGCGGTACCGGCCTACCTGCTACTTGAGTGTTTTTCCCGCTGCCCTCAGTGTCGCGGGCCTCATGCTCCACCACTTGAGTGTTTTCCCCCGCTGCAACCCTCAATGTCACGGCCACAGGTAAGTACCGGCCCTACAGGCCCTCAGGCAAGCAAGTACCCCTGCGGGTCACACACACATTCAGGCCGACCAGCACTCAGACAGGCACGCAGACCATCAAGCACGCACACACACAGACTTGGAAAACTCAGTAGAATGTGGGAATCTCAGCAAGGCATCCATTCCAGCGGCAGAACTCAGAAATCAGCACTGTTCTCAGTCTGTGTTTTGACGGGTCATTACACTACCCCCCCCTTAAGAGCGAGGTCCCTTCCAGCGAACAACTCACTCAGAGTCCCTAGAAATGAGCAACCGAGTTCGAAATTTACTGTGGGATTAGAATTATCAAAAGTGTACACTTCCGGAACTATTATGTTCTTTTTTGCAGCTTTTCTAGTTACATTGAATACCTCGAGATTCTCTTCGTCGTAAAAAAAGGTGTAAACGAATGAAAGCTAATAAAGAAAGATTGGCACATTGGCTTCTTCAACGGATTACTGCTGCTTTTTTAATAGCGGTGAGCGCCGCGGTGATCTTTGGTTGTGTATCAATCTGTCGTTCATAGGCCTTGACTACTCGGGTGCACTTTGCAACAATTCCTTATAGGAAATCCAGTACAAATCATCTAGTGGGTGATATAGAAAGTGAACTTGATACTGTTTGTTACGCCCCTTACCGGTATGACTCACAATCCTGCCTATCTCATGACCGTTATTGATAGGACGAGGGATCATAGGGTCACAATACCGAAAGGAACCAGGATACGAAAACAATTTAGATGCGTGAAAGTCTGGATACGTGCACCCCCACCGCTTCCAGGGCCAGGTTCGATGTCCCTCCCCGGGTCGAGTGCAGTGGGTTGGTGGACTGGCAGGCTGTCATGCAAGATTTTGGTAAATATAAAGGAATAAAATAAAGGTGCATTCAGAAACAGCCTTTGCCACACTTAGTCATACAGTCGAGTAGTCATCGTTATCCCTCCTGCCAGCGACGACACGGCTTAGAGTAAGGCGTTCGGGTGTACGCCTGCACCAGACCCAGTATAAAGGTTAGATTCAAGGTCACCGGAGTCCTTGTTATCCAATAGTCCTTCAAGTAGCCTTGAGTGAGAGTTGGTTAACAACAGTCGTATTTTTCATCACCACTTCGGGACACCCTTCACCACTTCAGGATGCAGCCTGCCTAAACAGGTGGTTTTCAGGGTCTTCGAACCTTTCATGACTTTAGGACCATTCAGGTCTGAAAATCCTGAATGGTCCTAAAGTGGTGAAAGCTCCGAAGACCCTGAAAACCACATGTTTAGGCAGGTTGCATCCTCAAGTGGCGAAGGGTGGTTTTGATGGTGTTCGGACCTTTCACCACTTTAGGACCATTCAGGATTTTCAGACTGCCCAAAACTCTCACTTGACGACTTCAGGACGCCCTTCACCACTTCAAAATGAAGCCTGCCTAAAAAGGTGGTTTTCAGGATCTTCGAACCTTTCACCACTTCAGGACCATTCATGATTTTCAGACTGCCCAAAACTCTCACTTCAGAATTTTCATTCCTGAATTATCAGCTACCCGATAACCGCTTGTGCCTTGAGTGTAACCTGTGTAATGTAAAAAGGAAATAACATACATGCATCATAGAACAAATGACATTGAAAGAATGAGAAGACCAGAAACCAGACTCTACAAGAGCATGACCAGAGACACGAGACTGAAGAGTAGTACACAGGGAATGCAGGGAGCAGCCATTGGAGGGCTGCAGGCACTGATAAATCATAATAATGTCATAATACATCACAATGACCAGAAGGAAAGAGCCTCAATCGATAATGATAAGTAGTACCCCCTTGTGAGTAGGTCCTACTGTCCAGGACTCAACATCTGGTACACGCTGGTCCTCGTCATTAAGAACTTGGGTTGCTATCGACTCTGGGACCACAAAGCTGATGTCAAAAGCGATTTGGAAGTGGGATCAAGACTGCACATCGGCTCTAAAGAAATTGAAGAGAGCCTTGATAGAGTATCCAATGCTCAAAGTAGTTGATCCATCATTACCTTTTGTTGTCACCACAAACACTAGTTAGTATGGCATAGGTGCTGTGTTGCAGCAAGATGACGACAATTGGTATAGACGCGTAGAGTTCATGTCCGCAAGGTTGCCTTCAGAGAAGGTAGCGACATCGACGTATGAGAGAAAACTCTACGCTCTCATGCAGGCGTTAGGTCACTGGAGACATTACTTGCTTGGGAGACACTTCAAAGTGTACTCTGACCACGAGACTCTAAGATGGTTAAAGACACATGCCAGGATGACACCTAAATGGACTAGGTGGGCCGATGAAATAGATCAGTTTGACTTCGAGCTCAAGCCCGTCAAAGGGAAGTACAATGTAGTTGTGGACGCTCCGAGTAAGAGAGCAGACTACTTTGGAGCAATAGTACACTATCTGGACATAGGGAGAGACCAGCAACAAAAGATTAGAGACGCGTATGCGAAAGACCCTATCTCTAGTGACCTTCTCAAGAGTCAAGGATGCCCCAGAGATTGAGCCAGATTACCGCACTATAGACGGGTTACTATTTGAGAGGACTAGTGTAGTGGACAGACTGTGCGTTCCCAACAATGAGAAAATTCGTAGTTTGATCCTGGGGGAATGTCACGATTCAAAGTTACACTTTGGTTGGCAAAAGACATTGGCTAGCCTCGTTAATGCGTATACGTGGCCTGATATGAAGTGTGACTGCAAAGAGTACGTACGTAGTTGTAGGGTGTGCCAGATAAATAAGACCACGACATGAGCCCCTTTAGGTCTTCTCACACCCTTGCCTATTCCGTCAAGACCCGGAGAGTCTGTGTCCATAGGCTTCATGGATGCTGGGGTCATGAGTAGGCATGGCAAGAGCCAAGTCATAGTTGTAGTTCATAGATTTACTTGCCTTCTGAGGCACGTACCGATATAGTAATAAAGAAGTTCTTTGATCATTGGGTCAGTCAGCATGGTCTACCGTTGTCGATAGTTAGTGAAAGAGATACCAAGTTCACTAGTCAGAACTGGCAGGAGCTTATGAGAGTATACCGGTCTAAGTTTTTGATGTCGTTTGGCCACCACCCTGAGACTAACGGTCAGACTGAACAGATGAACAAGATCCTGCAACAAGTTATCAGAATGTACATTAGACCCGATCGAGTCAACTGGGACGAGATGCTCCCAAAGGTAGTTAGTGCTTACAATAACAACGTTCATCTAGCCACCTGTCGCACTCCCAACGAATTACACAAGTCCTTTAGACCCCACAGACCATTTGAGGGACTGAATCGGGACCAGATTCAAAGGCTACCACCCGGTACTAGGGAGTTCGCGTTACAGCAGAGATTGCTAAAGTGGTAGGGAACCTCAGGAAGGCCCAACACAGGATCATAGAGCAAGCCAATAAGCATCGTCGTCCATCACAGTTCCAAGTAGGCTCTTAGTCTGGATCAAGTCTAAAGAGTTTGCTCCTGAGGAGAACATCTCGCAAAAATTGTTGCCTGCGTATAGAGGACCGTGGCCAGTCCTAGAAGTCAAGGGCG